GTACACCTGCAGGACAAGTCCTCCAGCACCTGGAGATCCTGACCCTGCAAGTCGCTTTCAATGATGAAGCAAAAAGCAAGAGTCTCATGTTTAGCCAGAACGGTGAGTAGGTCCAGGAAAAGTGTAGGGGGAGAAAAAGTCTCCTCACCTTCCCAATCTCGGGATTCTCAGCAAAATTAAAATCAAGCTCAAGCCCTGCAACAGCGGAGAAGGTCAAGGTCAGGGTGAGGTAGGGTTAAACCAGGACTAGAGTGTAATGAGGCTGTGATATGGATATGTTTATGGGACAGTTAAACTGTCTCTTAAATCACCTCAGCAAAGGCAGACTATCAGATCATACGTGCCTGTACTTGAACTACTCACCTAGGCTTGCTTCAGAGACAGACAGGCTCTTCCCAGGCACTGCCAGGGACCAGCACAGATCACCTGCAGACCAGACAAGTCCTGAAAATGCCAGTTTGTCCCCACTGACTCAAAAGGGAGTTGAGAGTGAGTGTCTCAGGAATGGATGTCTGCCCTGGGGATATCTATACCCACCCCTCCTTCACCTGCCTGGGAGCAGCCTTCTTTTGACTGCAAGAACAACCCAGCCTGTACTCCCTGCTCTTAACCTTCCATGTGGGGAGGCTGGATCAGCCCCAAAGTGTTATGTAAAATGGCTGTGATGTGTATATTTATATGAATCATATACATTAATTACATAATAGTCACCCATGCTCTCCCTCCCACATGCACTTTGGTTATGCATAGGACACAAAGACTGAGTGCATTCACTATGAATCATGCAATAAGACTACATCCCTCAGGCAAACTCTCTCTAAAATGACCCTTTTCTTATATTCCCATGGCTTCCACTACAATATTATTTAATTAAGAATATTAATCTGCTGGGCCACCAACTTTCACTGTCTTCTGGGGAAGTCTGAACAGACAGACATTTAATAAAATATGGGGAATCCTGCTCTTTTTATGATTGGAACATTTAGGTAAGGCAATTTCATGGCCTTATGAACTTGTTTTTTTATTTGTTCTTGATATGAACGTGAAACTTCTGGACCAGAAAGATCATTGATTCAAAAGTTGCATGAGTGATGCCAGATAATTTTTTTTTTTACTTTGCTTTTCAGCTCATGCTGTTGAATACTGACCAAATACCTGGGATTTATCATTGATTAGTTGTAGAACAGTGCAGACAAGCGCTGACCCCCATTTGGAGAATAGAAGATGAACAGAAGATGATGCAGTTTGGCAGCCATGGGCATGTATGTGCACGTGCCTGCAGCACGCATGCAAACCTGCCAGAAGTGCAAAGAAATCATCCAAGACACTGACATGACCAGTTCAGCTGCACTGCAGCAGCTGCCTGAGGAACACCTCAGGGTTGCAGCCTGCTGCCCTTTTCTCCTCTCCCGTGGGATGAGGAACTGCATGCACTGCTCTGGCAGTGCCCCACCACATCCTGTCCTGCAGCCCCAAACCTCTTCCCATGCTCAGCCTAATCCAGGGTTGAAACCTCATCACCAAGAATCATGGAATCATTAATACTGGAAAACACCATCAGGTCCAACCCAGCAGCACCATGTTCAACATTAAACTGTGTCCCTAAGGGCCACATCCATGTGTCTTTTGAACACTTCCAGGGATGGTGACTCCACCACTGCCTCGGGCAGACTGTTCCAATGCCTGACCACCATTTCAGTGAGGATTTTTTCCCTAATATCCAATCTAAACCTCCTCTGGTGCAACTTGAGGCCATTTCCTCTCATCCTGTCACTTGTTACTTGGGAGCAGAGCCTGATCCCACCTGGCTGTCCCCTCCTGTCAGGGAGTTGTGCAGAGCCAGAAGGTTGCCCCTGAGCCTCCTTTTCTCCAGGCTGAGCTTCCCCAGCTCCTCCCTCAGCTGCTCCTCATCAGAGCTGTGCTCCAGACCCTTCCCCAGCTCCATCCCCTTCTCTGGACATGCTCCAGCCCCTCAATGCCTTTCTTGTTATGAGGGTCCCAAAACTGAGCACAGGATTCAAGGTGTGGCCTCACCAGTGCCCAGCGCAAGGGGATGGTCGCTGTCCTGGTCCTGCTGCCACACTACTCTGGATACAGGCCAGGTGCCTTTGGCCTTCTTGGCCACCTGGGCATACTGCTGGCTCATGGATCCATCCCAAGACGGGGAAGAACACCACCACATTGGCCATAGGATGAGTGTGTTTTTGGTCAAAGAAAATGATTAAAAGTAGCTGTTGAGGGCTTCCACTGACAATAAAACCAGGAGCTACTCCTGTTTTATTGGATGGAATGTTTTCAACATCTGGGTGAGAACAACTTTAGCAGTTGTCCAGGTAAAGCCATGGAGGCTTGTGGAAAGGCTGGGTGATGTGAAATTAGGGCAGATAGGAAGTTCTGTGCCTGTAGGTGTGACAGCCAAGGCCTAAGGGGAGGTTTTACTCATTTTTGCTCCTGCATGATGTTAAGCAACAGGCAGTAAATGTGGCATTCATTAAAATGACCTTGTATACTTTTAACAGCCTCGATAATCAGGTTTCTGCCACTGTATTGGAAAGGGACTTTTTTATTCAAGGCCTTATAAAACTCTAATTTCTCCCTCATGCTTTTGGGATGTCTGAAGTTTTCTAAGGATTCTAGTATTTCTTTGCAGTAATTTTCTACCCTCTTCAAAGTTTTGTTCCCTTCCTAAATATACATTAAGTAACTGAGTGGAGATTTACATTTCTTTGAGTGTGACGGATTAACTGCTTGCTGTACTGGGCAACTTAAAACTTGCATTTCTCTCTCTCTTTAGATATAGGAGGTGTTGGATGCTGACCTCCCTCCCTGTGGCACTCCCAGTGAAACTCTTGAGAAGCACTGTCAGGTTTGCAGCTAAGGCTACAATATGCCTTCTTGCATCCTGAGCATCCGAGTGGGTCCCTCAGCCAGGAATGCCTCTCTCTACTTCTGAGTAGAGCATTTCTATTCTGAATTTCTATTTCTGTTTCTATTTCTGTCAGCAAACACTGCACACAACCTCTGGCACTTGTGGAAGATCAAAGTCCCCTTTTTCACTCGAATCTAACTAGAAGTAAGATCCCCACACTGGGAAAAGGTCAGGGCATTGCGGAGGCATCTCTTGAGCCCTGGAAAGATGAAGGACAAGAAGCACAAAGGCAACTGGCCATAGAGCACGGCAGGAAAGTTCAGTCCACGGCCACACAACGTACACAGCCAGGTCTTTTAGTCTCTGCCTGTGCCCACATGCCAGGCACTCACGTCTGAATACACACAGACAAGCAAAGGCTGCAGGGCAAGCATGCGGCGTGCAGCTGCCAGGTCCCAGCCGAGCCTCTCCTGCAGGTACTGCCTCAGGCACAATTGCAAAAATAACCCATTCGACAGCACAGACCATCAGGAGGCTCTGACTGAAAGGGAACCTGTTTCGGGCCAAACAAAGCATTTCCTCAGCATCAAGCCGATCGAGTTTTTTGACCGAAGTCAGGGCTTTGCATGGAGAGCCCGCAGGAACCTGCTCCAAAACCCTCCAGCCCTTGGCCCACATGGAGATCTTTGGCATCTCTGTGAATGCAGAGTGCACTAGGGCTGCAGAGGGGTTTGCAGCTGTTTGTTTGAGAAACAAAGCTTCCCTCCTCCAAGATGAAAGAAATCAAGGAGTCTATGCTAATCAAATCCTCCATGCCTGCTGGCTGCAGTTCAGCTTGTCAGGGATTCAGCTCAGTGGAGTGATCAACATTTCCAGTGCTATGAGCTTGGTGGAAGGGGAGAACACAACAGCAAGAAATTCACCTGGCTGGGAATCAAACAGGTGTATGGCAGCAGCATCCAAGATTATAATAATATCTTGCAAACATGCAAAAAATAGATGTAATAAGACTGATTCTTTGGTTTTCATTAATGAATCATAAAGGCTCTCTTTACATTACACATGCTTTTTTGGCATACACTGCTAATATTTCCACACTTGCAAGGTTGGAGTTTTAAGACTGAGCCTCCCTTCCCTAAGGTTCCTCATTTTTGGCAAGAGGTACAAGGTGACTGTGTGCCATGACAGTCTCTCTCTTACTTTGGGGCAATCAGATTACTTTACACAGATGGTTTTATCACTGAGACCATTAGAGGTGAATTGTGCAATATATAAATGTGCATTTTGTTTGGTAAAAAAAAAAAGTCTCAGTTCCTTACTACTGTCTTGTCTATGTTCCTAAATGTATTTCCTCTCTCCTGCAGCATTCCAAAGCACAATTTGTCCAATCTTTACCTTTGAGTGACTCAACTTGTTTCTGATAGGCGTCTTAAGTACATATTAACTAAGGAAACAGTCTTTCTTAAGCTACTGGATTGAAATGCAGGAGAGTGAACCTCAGCTTTAACTGCTGAAGAAATAAAGGCATCTATCTGTCAGGATGCCTAACAACACACACACCACAAAGGCAGAGCACCAAAAAATAGAGAGCATAACATTTACTTTACAGCACAGAATCACAGAATGGTTTGGGTTGGAAGGGACCTTAAGATCATCTTGTTCCAACCCCCTGCCATGTGCAGGGACACCTTCTACTAGACCAAGTTGCTCCAAGCCCCATCCAACCTGGCCTTGAACACATCCAGGGATGGGGCAGCCACAGCTTCTCTGGACAACCTGTGCCAGGGCCTAATTACATGCAAGTAAACATCCTTTTGTAAGGGAAATTTAAAAAAAAAAAAAAAAAAAAAAAAAGAATTTGTTCAAAGAATCAGTTTAATAATTTAAAAATAATCTGATCTGAAATGGACCTAATGTTATTCGAGAGAGACATGCTCAGAGCAGCATAGCAGCTCTCTTCCACATTGTTAAAAAAAAAAAAAGGATTTAGAATCCTGCCTGCCATGCAGGAACCCTGGTACCACTGCTGAGGTTTGCTCTCCTTGCCAAGGTTTGTCTGAGGCCACGGAGGCAGCTGCTGCCAGTCCTGTTCCTCTCTGCATAATTGTTTTAGGCAAAACAGAGTCTTTACCTGAGAGGCGTCTGGGCACATCGGTAATGGCTGGAAGTCCTGTGCCTCGAGTGGAGGACAGGGGAGTTGTGGAGTGAATGGACGGTGAAGTCATCTGGCTCAAGTAGGATGGGTAAGACTGGTCATAGGACCATGGCGGAGATGACTGCGCCTGCCTGGGGTCTAGGGGGAAAATAAAAACAAACAAACAAAAAAAAAAAAGAGAAGATTTTTTTTAAAAGGAAGAAAAGTTTTAGGGTATCAACAGCCTAACTGAAAGAAGTGGGATTACTGAACATACACACATCAGTACTACCAGGAGTGAGAATGTATTGAAACACAGTTTGCTCCTCAACACTCAGCACTTTCAAGTCTTGGTCTGTGCTTTTCCCTCCCCAGAACAATTTCTGTGGGAAATGAACAGACCATAGAGCAGAGTTTTAAAAGATCTAGAAGCTGTGATGCAAACTCCTGGTGTCTCTCTTACAACATGTTACATCAAGAGTTGCCAGTCCTCAAGGAATCAGAAAGAGAAGCAGACAACATGGATGAGCCACAGGTCTGATCTCAGGAGGTGGACTTCATGGAATCATGGATCATTATAGCTGGAAAACACCTCTAAGACTGCTGAGTCCAGCACTGCCAGGTCCACTGCTAAACTGCATCCCTAAGCGTCACAGCTACAGGTTTTTTAAACACTTTCAGGGATGGTGACTCCACCACTTCCCTGGACAGCCTGTTCCAAAGCCTGAGCAACCTTTCAGTGAAGAAAATTTGCATAAAATCCAATCTAAATCTTCCCTGGCACAACCTAAGGCTGTTTCCTTCAGAGGTGGGTAGACTCTACAGTCAGCACTTGGCATGCCTGGCCAGCTGTTATCCAGTTCAAACATCACACAATAGTGTTTTCAGTGCTGCAAATACTAGCCAAGGAGAAAAAAATGTCATTAATCTTATCAGCATCTGTCAAAAAAAGTCACATTTGAATGCCGGCCCAATTAGTTACAGTACCCTCAATTACAACATATGAAAACAAGTGGCTTGGGATAATTATCAGAAGCTAATGATACCTTTCGATGTATTAGCAATAGCTCACTATGGAGGAAATGATTTTTAGGATAAACACAGTTCAATTTTTGCTGAAGCACTGGTAGAAGGAGACCTAGGTTTACTCACTGATGTTTGGATTTATAAACCACATGCTCTCAGTTAATATCTGGTGATAAAGATACCGCTGAATACCTTGTAAATTATGATTTTTATTTCCTTACATCGACAAAAACAAAGCACTTTCAACCCCAAAGTCTGTTTGAGGCAGTGCACAATAAACAGAAAACTATCTCTGAACCAGCTCAGAGAAATCCTACACACCCCTTCAAATCCTGCCCAGTATTTTCAGGGAAGAACATCAAGTCTATTCAGCTTGGAGAACCTACTCTATCAGAACACTGTGCTAAAGCCCTGCTTTGCAGACAGCAATGTGACAGCCACATGGCATAAGCAAAGGCTCTTTTTCAGGAAATTCAACTTTTTTTCCTTTTTTCACTCCTTTCCCTGCTCTTCCACACAGCAAAACCTTGTAGTTTCAGCTACTTCTTGTTTATTATTTCTCTTCAGACATGATTTGTTTGAAGAAATGTCTGGAAAGCAGATACTTCCTTGAAGCAAAATAACTATATATATATATATATATATACATACATATATATACATATATATATATAAAAAAAAACCAATCTTCCAATTTAATTTTAAGAGGATTTTCCTGGAGTTTGTAATTTATATTAGAGCTAACTAATATAAATGGTTAACATAAACTTTTCAGAAATCCAAAGGACACTTGATCATTAAATGTAATGAACTTCTTTGTTTTAACAATTTCGAAACCAGGGTTGTATAGATTGGCACAGGTTCAAATCTGACTGACTGCTCATTGTTACATCTGATATTGACATATTTCTCTGCCTCATTCCACTACAATAATTCACCATACAGTCAATGGTAAATGATCTTCAAGTGGGAACAGAAAGCCTAGGCTTGCTGGAAAAACAATCTTAAAATTAATAGTGTGTTAGGACCACAATCTCACATCCAAGATCCTTCCAACTCCAAGATCTTGGGTCAATCTCTGCTTCTGAATCAATAACAGGGCCCCTAAAGTTTTGGGTTTATGTCAGCTCCAATGCTAGGAGGAAATAACATAGCAGGTAAAGGCTGGGAAAAAAAATCATAGTAGGGATGTTTTTACATCATTTAGGCCTAAGAAGGTGGAAAACTCAGAAAAAAAGGTGCCTTTCTGGAGGCTCATGCCACTCCTGGTAGTGTAATCCTCATGGCACAAGAACTTCTTGAGCATCTCTGGCACTCTCATCACTTTGAACAGCCATGCTAGACTTGGTTTTGCACTTAACACCCTTAATCCAGCAACTGTGAATGTCTGTGTGGATGCAAGAATGATGAATAGCAAAAGGTGGTCTTTCAAAGGCTCATGTGGTATTTCAAAACAGCATCTCATACTGCACTGCCAGAAGAAGCATATGGGGCTGGATGGACCATCACTTGACTCCAAAACATATCATACAGTCTTTCAACATCTACCTCAAATATATCAGTCTTCCCAGAGAACAGGGAATAATGAAGAGGAAAATCTAACCAAATTGAACGTTAGATGATCCATCAGAGCTCAGTGACTGAGGAGGAGGTCACAGTACCACAGGCCAGAGGGTTACTGTGATTCCTCCACACCAAGGCATGGCTGAGGTCACGGTCGAGGCAGGGTGGGAAATACTGCCCTGGGGCTGACTGGCTCAAGGTATCTTTGACCCGTTAGGAAACTGGAAAGTGAAAATACAAGTTTCACCAGATCCCAGAGCAAATGCCCTAAAGCCAACCCTTGCTGCCTGATGGCGGTCAAGGTTTGCATGGACGTGAGAGAAGAGAGTGGTGAAACACCATCGCCTTGCCAAGTCAAAGGTGACGTGTGAGCCCACAGGGCAAACATCACTGCTCAGCAGCATTGCCCAATTCAGTGAAAAATTCCACAAGGCAGAGCCCAAGGCTGCCCCAGATAGTCCCTGAAGATGGACAGGCAGCTCATGTGGCACCCTCTGGTTCACATGGAGATGGTCCCTGCAATGGTGTTGGAGCAGTGACTTTGGCCACTGAAGCCCATCAGACAATCTCTTCTAGTCCCACACACCATCAAACCTTCTGAGGTAAGGAGGGTGTTGGGGGCACCATAAGATGTGCCAGCTGTCACAACAGCACTTCCAGGGCAGATCCACACAGATCCACGTGTGAGGCAAACACAAGACCCTTAAGAAGGTCACCTCCTCCTTTCACTGGCCTAGAAGAGGTGGGATGACTGTTTAACACATACTATTGGGGAAGAAGCTATGAGGTGATCTGTGAGAGGTTTTCCTTGGCCTCCTACACCACAGGCCAGCTTCCCTACTGTCTCTGGCTGGTGGGCTTCCACATGCCCACACGATCCCTGCAAACCAGGGACTTTGCACCATCACCCAAAGCACCACGTGCTCTGCAGGCACAGCACATCTCCCCACCACAAAAAGACAGAACAGAAGGCAAACCTTAAAGCTCTGAGGAAGAGTGCATAGGGATTCCTCCCTAAAGGAATCCCTTCAAAACAAGAAAAAATACTTAATATAAAAATAAAATGAACTTTCTAGGAGAAAGCCACCCACATTCCCATATGGCAGCCATGGGGAAGGGCTAACAGAGCATTCAACAGCAGTGAAGGAGCCAGAGGGCCACTCTGAGCTGGCATTTACACTCGAAAACTTTGGAGTGATTACTAAGAGCAGTCCTCCTTTTGTAAACATTTCTGTTCTGCCTGTGTGGGTGTGAGGGGAAGTGCGGCTCTCAACGTATTCCTTCACAGCAGGGCATATTGTGGGTATGCTGAGACAGCCTGGGCACAGTTCAGCTGAAACAAATCAGCGGGGCGAGGCCTAAACTAATGCACAAACAGCTCCATCCTGTTTTCACTTCCAGGTGAACCTCCACAAAGCAAGAAATATTGACTATTGCGTATTGTTTTGTGTCTAGGTTTTGCTGTCACATTTATAGTCATGGGACACAGACAGGGTTCTTGACCTTTGTTGTCTCTGACTGACTTCATCAAATGGTCGGTGGATATTGATGCTTAATGGACAATAAGAGTCTTTAAAAATTAGTCCAAGAGTAGATGCACCACATAAGACAAAAATTATAAAGGAAAGAATGAAAAAGCCCTAGTGACCCATTCTCCCACCAGTGACATTGGCTTTCCAGTATCACAACTTCTTTTCTTCCAACAGAAATCATCATAGGGTCATACAACAGTTTGGGTTGGAAGGAACCTTGAAGATCATCTAGTTCCACCCCCCTGACATGGGGAGGGACACCTTCCATGTTCTGAAGTGTCAATGGAGAGAAGAAAAAACCTGCAAAAATCCCTCAAGAACAAGTTTTTCCACTACTTTGGCACTGAGGTGTGAAGCACACTGATTTTCTATAAGAAAAAATAAAACAGTCCCCCTTTTTCTAAGCTGAGTTACATGAGGAGAGCATGCTCACAGGCTGGCAGCTCCTCGGTCTACTGTCTATAATACCCAGACATCACATGCATCACACTCTCATTTAAACCCAGCCATCAGCTCTAGCTCTGGCTGCTGCTGGTTGGATTAGTGCTACTGCCAATAGTAAAAAACAAGCTGTCTGGAGCTATCTCTGGTAAACACTTAGAGAAAATATCCTCACTTCTGATCTTAACAAAGCCAAGATGACTTTCTGCATGAGTAACCCAACTATTGTTGTAACACTAACCCCCTCAGCAAAACAACAACAGCAAAACACAATCTTCTTCTCTTCTCTAACTCTTTCTTACGCATCTTTAAAAGCCCAGGGCTTCATCTGAATTGCCCAGTTCAATCAACAAAGTCAAATCCAGTGGAGTAACACCCCAATGTACAGAAAAGTAATTGATACCAGATTTTGGCCTGAAGAACCTCTAAATCCATTTCTCCTCCCACCCCTCCAAGAGTTACATTTTTGAAATGAAAAAAAAAAAGATAAACTCAATGATTCATGCCAGTGGGCAGCTAAGTTTTAAAAGGGGGGGTAGAGGGAAATAAAGTTAAACGAATAATAAGAGGGGCACAAGCTTTATGAAATGAAGGTCCACAGTGGCAATTTGCCAGTCAACCAGAGGATGCAATCAATTTGCACAAAATACAGCAGGCTGCAGATTCAGCTTGCACTGTCCCTGAAATCAGTCCCTGTCTGCCAGTGAAGATGTATCCCCTTGCTACCTTCCTCTTAAGCCAGCTCTGAAGACTTTAAATCTGCTGAAAAAATGATGAGAAATGGAAGCATAACATCCCTGAAGTGCATGGAGAAGGGGAAGAGGAAAAGGAAAAAAGTGAAGGTTTCACAGGACTTGCCTTTGAGGGCTGTTATTTCAGTGATGAAAGTCACAGGTTGCCTATAGATCAGCCAGTGCCACAGTGGTGATGGAGCATGAAACCTCACTTAACTCCCACTTTGCTGTCCCTGCAGCCCAGCTGATGGGGTCCTCACACTGACCACATTCCTGCCATTACACCCATGGCTTTTCCTGGCCTACAGAAGCTAATCCTCATCAGTTGCATCTTAAAAAAACCCCAAGTTTTCCTCATCTCATACTGGAACACTGATGCAACAGCTCAGTGTCTGAACGGGAATGTAATCGGATACGTGAGCAAGTTGCACGAGCCCGTTAGGGAAAGGAGAAAAAAATAAAAGAGCAAATATACCAGTGACCAAATGTGAATGGACAGGATTCCTGATTTACGGGCAGCAAGCAGGGTTCAAATTGGATCTGCACTGCCTCAGCAAAGGCAGCTGCTTATTGGACCATTTGTTTTTTAATCACCCTTCGATGTAGCTTTTGCTGAATCCTAGTTAAAATGCCATGTTGAATAAGGGCAACTCTGTGCCGTGTCCTGCCACAGCCCAGTCCTGTGGTAGGTTAAGGACTGTGCTGTGATTTGTACAACCTGTACTCTGATACTCCAGGAAAATAAACACAACCTAGGCAGAGAAAAGAAATATAAGAGTGAACCCTAAAGTGCTGAGTTCTTTCAGACTCACGTGTGGGTGAGCCAGGCTTTAAATAATATGTCTGTTTAATCATGCAATAGCTATGCAAGGCCTCAAGTGGAACGAAGCAAAATGTTTATATACTTACTAGCAATAATATGGATTTTAGGTACGAAACCAGTATTTACTGTTCCAGTTATTAGAAATTTATTATTTCCCCTAAATAATAACTAGGTAAAGAGATAATGAAACCATGGTATTTCTAAAGGAATGCTTAGTTAATTCTAATAAAGGTAATTTAAAAATCCTGATTTTCAGACAGAAGGGTCTATTCCCTTTTTAACGTATACCCAAGGCAGTGCTTATGTTAAGAAGCCAGTGGCATTCCACTACAACAAGGAAACTGGTGTTGAAGGACAGCTCAAGCACCTCACTCCCTATCACCACACTGAGCAGGGGGATGTTCAGCTATTTCCCACCCAACACCCGATCAAAGGGTTCCTCGTCCATGACATCACTTTTATCTGTCCTTGACATGGTTTGTACACCAAAGAGTACCCATTCATCCCACAAGAAGGAACCCAGAATAGGGACAGATTGCCAAAAAGCATCCCAGTACTTTGGTGGAGCATCAGAGCATGTTGAGCTTTACGGATTACAGTCAAGGTCCCAAAGAGCACCCAAAAACCTGGTGGAAAGCCACTGCAATTACCAGAGCTTGCACCCATGTAACATGCTCATACCAATCACCTAATTAAATAGGATGGCCACCAGAGAGCAAATGGAGAGCTGGCTGTTGGACTTTTCAAAACTGAGGGGGCAAGAGTGGGAAACAACATTAGAAATACTGTATTAGACCACTTATTCACTACAGAGTCCTCACCATTTTGAGGAAGATGAGAGCAATTTGGATTCTAATGTATCCTATAACCTTGAATTTGTCCAACAATAAAAGCACATAATCTACAAGAGATGGGAAATCCAGCCTGCATCCCTCAGCTCAGCTCACTTCCCTCTGCCCTAACAGCACCACATCTTCCCTCTCTTGACGAAGTCTCAGCTGGTGCTTTGAACTGCTGCCTTAAATTTACAGAGAACGCAGGGAATGCCACACAGCTTTGTTTCCAGTCAGGCTTATTGAAAGCTCATCTGAAGTTTTCATCTCCCAGATCTGTAAATGCTGCTGCTGCCTCATAACGAGGCAGAGAAGTAGTCTATTAATCAAAGCCAGCAGAACATTTTCTACAGGAGGCATTTATGTGAAGGAGAGCAGCATATGAGGTTACACTTAGTTAGGAAGAAAATTACAAGGGGATCTCAGTTCTTGTGCTTCAGGGCATAAGCTGATCACCAGATGGGGTCAGGAAGAATTTCACCCTCTTTCGTTCATAGATATAGTATTGCACAATAGGTAAATTATGGAGGCACAAGGAAGAAGGGAAAAAAAAATGCTTATAGCCTGGATTTCTTGGGAACTATGTCTACAAACATTGCCAGACAGAAGACTAGGTTAGAAAAAAATGCTGTGTTTTAGTTCAGCAGTTCTTACCAGAAAATTATATGCACAAGAGCCCTGACTTCACATGTCCAATGAACAAAACATGAAGCCTAGCCAAAAAAACCTGCTCTGGGAAGCTGGGGGGCAGCAGGTAGCATGTAATGGGTACAATCAACGCATTTAATATATTATAAACATTTTACACTACTTAAAGCTAGATTTCTAGATCTAGGAGAACTTCGCCACAGCTCATGGGAACAGTTTTATTGTTGAAATTCCTTGAACACTTTGGGTTCAAATTAACTCACTTCTCTTTCTTACTGCAAATTAATAAACCAGTTGAACTTAAAAAAAGAAGGAAAAGAAAGAAGAAGAAAGCCACAACACTTTGTTAAAACCACTGAGTTTCAGCTGGTATCATGTCAAAACCACTTGAAACATGAAACTAGAGATCTTCCTAGGTTGACTCAAAGATTATGTCTATACTAGGAGTGCTTTACCAGGAAAAGAATGCTGGTGTATAATGATGGCAAAGGACTCTGCTGTGGATGCAACTGTAGCAGCAGAAGTGAGTATTAAATAGGTCTAGGGAATTGAGCCAAGAGCTTTGTTGACAGACTTGCATCTAGATGAAGTTCTTCAACAATTCTAACAATTGGTTCAGGGGTAACACCTCTTTACATCCTGGATAGACTCGAACACGTCAGCACAAATTTAGAATCTAGAAATGCCCAAAGTTAGATAGAAGTTGTTTTGAAACTCTTTTGAAAAATTAACGAGCTCTGACTTTAGAAAAAACAACTTTGGTTTATTTTGTAGGCTTCAGTTTTGCTGCAAACTTCTGGCATAGTTGCAGTTAAACATCTTATTTCAGCTTTCTAATGTGTGACACATGGTGGGTGCTTTATGATTTCTCTCAGCACAATGAAATCTGTCTCTCAGCATGCAATCATAAATGTTGCATACAACCCTCACGAGCAACCTTTGGAGATTTCTCCATAACCCATTTCGTTTATTGTAACCATGGTCAGCACTGGTGGTAGAAGGGAACCACCATGTGAGAAGATTGTATTATTATTCTGATAAAAAGACCATTAAGTGCTGGCTGCTTTCCTTAACATGAGTGCAAAATAACAAGGCTGAATAAAAATGTTCATTCTATTGTATACTAAAGGTACTGTTGCAACATGGAGAAGGCAGAGCAATGTGGCAGTTAGAATTTCACCAGATCCCTACTCAAATGACCTGGATTGACTATTTTAGATTTATGGTAAAAAGATATTAAAAAAAAAAAAAAAAGGAAAAAGAAAAGACATTTTCAGCTTCAAGCACTATAGAAAAATCTACTTCCCACCTAGCTTTGCTTGGAGAACATCCCCCACTCCGTAACAGCCTCTTTGACTGCAGCTGAGACACAAATATCCATAAGCAATTACTACCAATGCCTGTGCAAGTCAAACCTATGGTTCTGTCTCTTACCTGTAATCTGACTCTGTCCTTGTGGATTAAAAGGACTTGGTGCAGAGTTCAGAGAGGGCCGTGGGCTCTGGGTCGGGACCCCTACTCTCATACTGGGATGAGGAATGCGCCCTAAATCACTGAGGCGTTCAGAGAACAAACTAGGTTTAGAGTCATCAAGCTTCTGTCTGTGCCCTGGAAACAGCAAATCATAAAATAAAAGCGTTAATAACAAGATTTAGTAATTTAACACACCCCAAAAAAAAACCCCAAAATGGTCTCTAAGGACCTGTTATTAGATTTAATGGATTTACAGGTATCTCAGCTACCCCCAATACCACAGAGACATTGTGAAGGGGTTGTGTTTTGGTCATGGTTGTGCTGGTGAAAGCCTTGTGAAGCACGGCTGTGCCCATACACGTGTAGCATGTTACAATTTGGATCAAAATAAGCACTTATCAGGACACCCACACAAGTTTTTTTTTTCCTTTTTTTTTCTTTTTTTTTTCCTGCTTTAACTACCCAATGTAATTAAAGAGGCAAACTTTCCCTTCGAAAAGCAGCCTCATACGTACATACAACTTATCATCTGGGACAATTACTCCATGCCTGGTTTATATGTTGTGGATTTGTGCTAAGAAAATCTAAAAAAATGCAAGCTTTTCTTCTCCTTTTTTTTTTTTTTTTTTCTTTAACTCTGTTAGAGTTACTCATTAGCTTTCATTCCTCTGGGAGATTTTCCAAAAAGTAATTAGTCCCTGTCAGTTGAGAAGAGCAGTATCCAAGGAAAACCTCCAAGGCTGCAGGCCAGGATTGGGTCCTACACACCCTTGCATGGTCAGCCTTCCTCAGTGCCAGTACTGCACTCACCCAAAACAGGACAGCTGCCTCTGGATACACTTGGAACACTCATTTAGGGGTGTTTTGCTGTCAAAATATGAAGGGGCAAAATAGCAAAAGTACTGGGATGCCCCCAATGGTCCTGCTCATGTTGTCATTTAGATGTTTCATAAGCAAGAGCTTTGCTTCTCTAATGACTGCATTTTTGCTCCTAGGTTTAATTTCTTTCTGAAGGATGGTTCTTTTCCAATGGTGCCTCCAACTGTGAGGTGCAGAAGGTGTTATTTCTGTCATTCAGCACACAGAGAAACAGGCATGCATGGAGATTAAGGACAGGACTAATTTTACTTAACTTCAGCCATTCATAAATCAGGCATCTAGTCTAAACTCTTCTAATGTAGACTTCCTCTTCAGTTAATGGAAAGAAATAGCTACTTCCAGAGGGCAATTAATCTCATTTGTCTCTGACACTCGCCTTAAAATGGCATGATTCACCTCCTGAATTTGCTTTCTCTTCCTTCTCTGATCAGAGAGGGAGCACACATGACTGGTTTAATTAGACACCCTTGCCATTAGTCAATGTTAAATGGAATGAAGCTTACCCTAAGTTACAGATCAAGGTCACGCAAAAAGCTTCTGGCAGAGCTAAAAGGGGGGCCCAGACCCCTTGATTTCAACCCAGAACCACATCTGCCTCCACCCCTATAAGCAGTTCTGGGGCACTGGCACAAGCAATAACTGGGGGGGGGGAAATATTTTAATGCTTTTAAAAGTTGTAAGGGTCCCTGGTAGGGTTTGGCTTGAAGACTTCCAAATAATCACCAGTGGCTTGAGATAATCTGTGTTGTCCCTCAGCAGTATGAATGTAGCCATCTGTCTGGAGTCTAAAAGAATTCAGCTCTGCAGTCATGGGAAGATTTTCCTATCTATCTTTGGGCCATAGAATCCATTCCAATACTGTTTAATTCATTTTAGAAGCAGAAATGAGGCCACTGAATCTTGAGATTGAGCTATCATGCTACCAGTGCTAGAAAAGGTGCTTTATAATAGTAATTCTCACCACAGTCCTGAGATGGTTCACACCACCTAATTGATACCACAGTGCCATCATGACACAGAGGCAATGCAATATCCAAACTAAATAAATTCAAACTGGATTCAGAGAAATCATAGCTCTGCACAGAGAAGGATTCAGGTGGGAGATGAGAGAAAAGTTGATGGGATTTAACTTTGGAGAAACTTCTCTAGCAATTTAAAAAAATTAATTAGTTGACCCATAATTTGGTACTTTGAAGTCTGGGTTTTCTCCCCCATAATGAGTCAGTCTAAAAGCACAGGGTAGGTGGGAGACTTCTCATTAGGGAGAAAGTGCTGCTCCATGTTAGAGCTGCCATGAGTGCCTACTCCTCTCTTCAGAAAGTATCAACCACTTTAAATAGGGAATGATTTTTGGTGGGCTTGTTAAAACTCCACAACAGCAGCGTGATTAACAGGGCTACATCCAAGCTCTAGTCTTCAGCACTATATTCCAAATCCATTTAAACTAAGATTTGTACAAGTTGGATGCTGATAAATCTGAAGAAATTGCTTTCACATACACATGCAAACAGTATTCTCTTGGGATTTCTCCCTCTTCTTTTCCTTCATAATTTTTATGTATTTGCTTTTCCCTTTGCCAGTCATATTTTCCACTCTGTTTTTTAGACTTCTACTTTCTCCCCTTTTCTCTTCTGTTCATTCCTGACCATGCTTTGGCAAATTGAGCAACCTGGGATAGTGGAAGGTGTCCCTGCCCATGGCAGGGGGTTGGAACAAGATGATCTTTAAGTCCCCTTTCAACCTATACCATTCTGGGATTCTGTGAAATCTCAAAATAAGGCAAATGTGTCAGCCCCATCTCCAGTCTCACACACCAGAGCTGATTTTAGCTGGGAATGAATTCACTCCCAAAGTGAATTTTATTTAGGATTTCTGTAGAAAAAATGCTGTGCTATGTTCATGTAGTGACCTTTTAACTAAAGAACCACTAACAAACTGGTGCATAATCTATTTCAACGGTCCTCAGGTAACTCGATAAATAATTTATTACACAGGTCACCACCACTCCTGCACTAACCTGTGCCAGATAACCCCCAGCCTTGTTTCCATCACATTCTGTTTGATCATACATAGCTTTGTTAGATGAGAGTTTATACTTAATTATGTGCATTATAGCAGAGCTCTGGATAACAGAGCAGGGAAAAAAAAAAAAATGAAAGAAGGGAACATACAGGACAAAGGAAATACAGGAACAACAAAAAATATTTCCACATCTGGTTGAATTGAAATGATCTATAGATGTGTGGGTTTGGGTGTTGCCACTTCCCCCCCACCCGCCCAAAAAAAAATAAAAATAAAAGAGTAAGGAAGAGAGAGCTCTATGCACATCTGGAAGACCCCAGGCATCAATGGAACTGCAAGTCCCCAGAAACCAGCAAGGGGCCAAAGGCAGCCTTGCCTTCCCCTTCTGGACATTTAAAATTTAGGGTTGCAACACGGAGTCATGTTGTGACAAAGGGATCCACAGAAGGATCCGCAGTCCCCGAGTGAAATATCCCAGGGAGACGAGATGACATTGCAGCTTTGCACGTTATGGGTTACCCTGCTTTGATAAAGGCTGAGACGTGCTCACACTGAAAGTAAGCAGGAAACTCAACAAAACCTTTTTATTCAGGAGGTGCTCACAAAGGCGTGTGGGCAACTTAAATAAATGTTCTGCCTTGATTTCTGTGTGGGGAAAAAAAAATCCTGTTAAGTATGGAGGAGCCATGAGGTATGGACTGAAAACTCTTTAAAAAGACTTCTGAGTAGCACATAAGCAGCAATGAAATATGTGATACATGTTTAAAACTCATTCCACAAGCTGCTTTTCATCTCTCATTGATATATGTGTCCGTTGACAGAGAAATTCCTGATCCCAGGGGAGTGTGCTAAGAAAAGCTGTATTCCTCAGTCTCAGTACTGAGGCGTAATTTTATTTCAGGAAAAAAGATTAGGGTAGCAAGTGTGGATAGCTGAGGGAGAATCCATGATCTGCTGCAGCACTGAGTACATGAAAAAGCAATATAAAAGCTATGTGAAGAGCAGAATAAAACAGTGTAACAGCTACCCCAATACCTCTAACACTGCATTTAGTGCTCGTTGCTCTGTGGCAAAGATGAGTTTGTAGAATGGATTTGGCTTGGAGGGAAAAAAAATGGTTGTGGACATTAGCAGTCTTGGATGTAAAATATTGTCAAAAATAAATGAAAGCTGACACATGAGTCTCTGACTAAGGATGGGACCCAGTGGCCACTGGAAAAGATCAGGTTACAGGTGAGGAGATGGGAAAGAGATGAGAAAAACTTAGAGTTCACAGTCAAGAGCTAAACAAGCTGTTCTGATTTGTCTGCTGGCACAATACAAAACATGCTGGATATCAGAAATCCAGTGTTTGCTCCAAAATAACAAGAAATATTCTGATCTTTCACTGCTACTCAGCTGTTTCAAGCCAAACACCGACCTGAGTATAAGTTTCTGGAAACAGAAACATTGGCATTAATCCTCTCCAGTGTCAATTTTGGCCATTTTACATGAATCAAACCAGAAATCAGTGCTATAAGGTCAGTGAAAACTGCAGCCAGCCTGTGCTGCTGCTTCTGCTTGCCAGCCCAGCACAACCTCAGAACATGTTTGTGTGGCCCATGGAAGCTGATGTTCAATTATCACATCCCAGGCATGGCAGAAGATGTGAGGAGCCTTCATCTCCAGCTTAATCATTTCAGTTTAAGCTAAGCAAAGGGCTGTCTCCCAGATCAAAGCAAGGCAATCTCGAGTCTGCTGGATGTGGTAACTGGAAAGGGACGTGAGCTCGTCTCTCATCACTGAACTTCCACTGCTCTGCTGGAGAAGGCAAGATGTAAATTGGACTGTGGAAGAGGCTGACTTGCAGAATGTAAATGTGGTGTTGATGCTTGAAGATTTTTACCTCCTCAGGGAGGAGGGGTGTGCGTTTTTATCTTTCAGCTTGTGGGTGTGGAACTGAAAACTAATCAGATTATGCTACACGTGGCCTTGCCAGATGCTGACACTCAGGGACTCCCTTTCTTTGTACCGTGTACACCACCCACCAGCTTTTTTGTGTGGCTTTTTTTTTTCTCTGGTACCCAGGAGATCTGGTTACCAGATTTTCAGCAGATGCTTTTATCAGTCTCCACTGGGTTAGCTATTTTCAGTCATCACCCAGTTCTATCTTTTTCTGCTTTTGCCTTAACAAGAAGAAGAATCGTGGGAGTCAGGTGTCTCCATAAAAGAGCCAAGGGATGGCAGAAGGGTGA